TAACAAAAATTAAAGAAGGGTCTACACAAGACATGGAGAAACTTGCCATGACCTGCCTGAAGACCAGACACAGAAGCTAGACCGGACAATGATGCTGAATTCACTGCTAGCTCCAGGGAATTTAAATAATTTGAGAATTGTTATTACATAATGCAAAAGTGGTGAATCTGCCAGTGCTGATGTGCAGGCAGAAAAAAAAAAAAAAAGTAAACTCTAGAGAAGCTGACTGTGGACAATTACTTGGCAGAGCAAATATTCTATCTATTATAGATGAAAACTCCGTTCTGGAAATGGATGCCTGAAAGGACTTTCATCACGAGGGGAGGAGTAACCACCATTGATTTTCCACCTTCTAGTCCAGTCACTTTTACTTTTGTTTCAAGGCTTTTAAAAGACAGGATAACAATCTTGCTTGGGGGCAGTGTTGCAGGCTACAAACGTAACTCCTTTGTGACCTGGCACAGTGGTAACTCTAGGGCCTTCAGGCATAGCCACACACACACACACACACACACACACACACACACAGCCAGTGTCCTACAGAAGCAATAGTCATGGATGACTCACCTCCTCTTCCAAAATGCCCTTCTGAATAGCTATCCTGAGCAAAATAAAGTACTGTTGGAAGTAATGTGCCTTTCAAGATTTTGCTTATTGTTGATAAAGCTCCTGGGAATTCTTGTTTTTGTTGGTGATGCAATGCTGAAAGGATTACATCTGACTGCATGCATTGAGAACCTTGCTTAGGCTTGGGGCGATGTCACCAGGAAGTGTATTTAACTGCTGTCTGGAAGACACTTAAAAGGTCAGTCTAGGACAGCGGTCGGCAAACTCATTAGTCAACAGAGCCAAATATCAACAGTATAATGATTGAAATTTGAGAGCTGAAAACCGACTTCTGCGCATGGGCCACGAAGTTTCAATTGCACTGTACATGCACGCCTGCATGTGGCCTTTTGTGGAAGGCTACTCAAGGGGCCAAAGAGCCTCATGTGGCTCGCAAGCCGCCGTTTGCCAACCATGGTCTAGGACTTCAAAGGAGTTGCTGAGAATGAGTTTGCAAAAATCGACAAGGCTGTGGTTGAGCCCTGGCCGGTTGGTCCAGTGGTTAGTGTTGGCCTGTGGGCTGAAGGGTCCTGGATTTGATTCCAGTTGAGGGCACATGCCTGGGTTGTGAGCTTGATTCCCAGTATGGGGTATGCAGGAGGCAGCTCATCAATGATTCTCTCTTTCTCTCTCTGCAAAGAAAAAAATAGTCTGTGGTTGAAATGGCAAGCAAATCTTAGAGTGGATAAGGATGACACCGAGGTGGTTCCTGAGGAACTGACTAAGGAGTTGTCAGGGCTGGAATAGGAACACATAGCTGATGAGGAAAAAGGAAACTACAGAACAAGGACCCCCAAGAAAACTCAGTAAAGGGGTTAGCAGCTTTTGCAGGTCTTTAAAGTTTGAAAACATGGACCCCCAATACCTAATAGGTTTTCATTAATAGAGCGGAATGTGCATGATACACTACATGCTTACAATAGAAAAACGAGCCCAGCCAAACACCACGAACACATTTCTGAAGAGTGACAGCAGCCGTAAGGCAGGTCCTCCAGGAAGCACTAAGAAGGAAGGCACTGTTGTCATAGATGACAGCTCCGTGTGTGTTATTGCCCCTAAAGACCTTCCAGTGGAACAAGATATGGAGGAAGAAGGCAGTGATACTGATGACCCTACAGGCCTGGGCTAATCGTGTTTGTCTTAATTATTTTTTTAATATATTTTATTGATTTTGTACAGAGAGGAAGGGAGATAGTTAGAAACTTCAATGAGATAGAGTCATCGATCAGCTGCCTCTTGCACACCCCCTACTGGGGATATGCCCGCAACCAAAGTACATGCCCTTGACTGGAATCGAACCTGGGACCCTTCAGTCCCCAAGCCGACGCTCTATCCATTGAGCCAAACCGGTTTCAGCTATGTCTTAATTATTAATAAAATCTAAAATTATTTTTTTTAATTTTAATAAGAAAAACGTATATTGAATAAGAATATAAAGAAAACATTTTTGTGCAGATGCACAATGTGTTCATCTTAAGTTTAGTGTTATTAAAGATTCAAAAAATTAGCCGGAATCGGTTTGGCTCAGTGGATAGAGCGTCGGCCTGCAGACTAAAAGATCATGGGTTTGATTCCGGTTGAGAGCATGTACCTTGGTTGCAGGCACATCCCCAGTAGGGGGTGTGTAAAGAGGCAGCTGATTGATGATTCTCTCTCATCAATGTTTTTAACTCTCTATCTCTCTCTCTTCTTCTCTGTGAAAAATCAATAAAATATATTTTAAAAATAAAGATTCAAAAAATTAAGACAAAGGTAAAAGTTACAGTAAGTTTAATTATTGAAAAAAAGTTTATAAATTTCATGTAGCCCAAGTGTTGTCTACTGTAATGTCCTAGGCCTTCTATTCACTAAGCACTCACTGACTCAGAGCAATTTCCAGCCCTGCCAGCTCCATTATGATTAAGTGCCCTGTACAGGTATTCCATTTTCTTTTATGCCCCATTTTTACTGTACCTTTTCTGTTTAGATACACAAATACCACTGTTACAATAGCCTACAGTATAATCCTGTTTGTTGTAGCCAAGGAGCAACAGGTTATACCATGTAGCCATACGTATAGAGAGCTATACCGCCTAGGTTTGTATAGTGCACACTATGATGTTCACACCAATTGCTATTGATACATTTCTCAGCCACAGTTTGATGGGACACAAAGTACAGTCATGTACTGAATGACATTTTAGTCATTAACAGATCCCATGTATGCAATCGTGGTCCCATACATATAAAAGCCTAAGTGACCAGCTGGCCAATTGGCCAGTAGCTATGATGCGCACTAACCACCAGGGGGCAGACACTCAATGCATGAGCTGCAGTCACTTGGCAGTGGAGTGACACACCAGAGAGGGAGCCCAATTCCACGGTGCATTACCAGACAACTGCCCTTTCCCAATGTGAGACCCGTGGGGGACATCAGAGAGCCAGTTTCTGCCCGATCCCCACAAGGCCAGGTGGAAGGACCCCACCCGTGCACAAATCCGTGCACTGGGCCTCTAGTACTAAAGATTATAATGGAGCTGAAAACTTCCTACTGCCTGGTGATGTCATAGCCCTCCTCCTTTAAGCTCAAAATACTTGTGTCTTTGGGATGCTGGTATAAACAAACCCACCGGGCTGCCAGTTCTAGAAAACTACCATGTAGGTTTGTGTTAAAGGCATTCTATGATGTTCACATAAGGAAGACATTGCCTAACTCTGTATTTTCTCAGAATGTATCCCCATTGTTAAGCAGTCAATAACAAAATATTGTAAACAAGACACATTCCTTTAGCTGACCTTACCCAAGCATGTCTGTATAAATGCAGAAATGGGAGAAAAACTTGAAATGCTAAAAAAGCAATTTCAATTAGCCAGTCTACACCTAGTACCCACAAAAAAAAAAAAAAAAAAAAAAAAGTCACCTATCAACTTAAGTCTTAAAACTTCCAATAGAAGCAGCCATACTTTCCCAGGATCTATTAGTGAGATGAACTTGCAAATACAGAATCAAACAATGAGAATGGAGTAATGGTGTGCAAGTTTTTTCCTAAATCAATTCCTGCCAGATCAAACTTTAGTTTGTTGGTTCCAATTCAAGCAGGAGTTTGCTTCACTAGGAAATGAAGGTATTTGCATAACAGTGGAGATGATTTATCTGCAGCACATAAAACCATATAAAGCTACTGTCTGCAAACTCATTATCTGCAACTCTAGATTTTAAAATAGTTTTAAACTACAACTGTGGGAAGTTTATAGATATAACTTCTAAGATATTTTAAACTTAAACTCGTCTGCTCCAAACATCAAATCTTGAACCATTTTCTTCTCAAATTTCAAAAAATAGGATATATACTTCTCTACCTAAACTGCCCCTTAGAGAGTAAGTGTATGGGTAGGCAAAATACAATAGTTATTAGAAGGCCTATGGGGGAGGGGGTATACTGATTTAAACCATGGGATAGAGGTGGAATTTTTTTATTGTTTCAAAACAGGAAGCCAAATGAAAAGCATTACAGACACAGAGCACTATAAGGCTTCATCATGCAGAAAGAGCCGATATAGGAATGGTCTGCTCCCAAAGGCAGGAGAGCTGGTATTAAAACCATTCTCAAAAAGCACACTTAAATTGCCAGGGAAATTGTTTCACACAGCTGCCTGGGGCCTTGGCCCCGATCTTCTAAAACCCACTCCCTAGCTTTTCTGGAGTGGCTCAGTGGTTGAACATCAATCTATGAATCAGGAGTCATGGTTCAATTCTGGTCAACAACACATGCCCAGGTTGTGGGTTTGATCCCCAGCAGGGGGTGTGCAGGAGGCCACTGATAAATGATTTTCATCATTGATGTTTCTATTTCTATCTATCTTCCTCTTTGAAGTCAGTATTTTAAAAATATTTTTTTAAATAAGGCTTAAAATTAATTCTTGTTGACATTTAATATAAAAACCATACCCAAAACACACTCTTCTATACAGTAACTGTTTACTTGTCTTCCACCATATAAATGAAGGCTTGAGCTAATTATCTCTCAACTGGCATCATCTCAAAAAATATATATATATATTAAGATCATTTTAACTATAACTTTATCACAAGAGGTTCTTATGCTAGTTCCAACTTATCACCTACTTATACAAGCCAAGAGAAATAAAACAGCATAACATCATTGTTTACTCTTTAAGGAATTTTTATTAAAGCAAGAATTTTATAATCCAAATTACGTTTCCTTGCTCAGTTATCAATTCTGTTACTTAAAACAGAAGTGACATTCTGAGCTATTCCACAGTAAAGAATTACAAAATTAAAGAAAGGAATGCTTTAAATTTTTGTACTTTGCTGAAAATTCTTTTTCCCAGGGTCTATAAAACATTAATTTGTTTTTATATTTTACGATTTTTTTTGTAGGTTTTTTTGTTTCTGTTTTTAAATCAATAAGTAATCTAGGACTAGCATTACTTTTGCTAGACCTGGCATTTGCTCGGTACATAAGGTCCAAAGTTTCCTTTCCTTTTTTTATTTATTTTATATTTTGCAATGTTTTTTTTTTCCGTAATATTGTTTTTCGATGTTTACGTATTTTTCTTCGGTGAAGCACGAGTTTCTTTTCGTGGTCCCTGATCAATCTGTAAATGTGGGAGGGAAAAGATTATAATCATAAAACTTGCTCTGAGACTAGATCTTAATTATTCCAACCACTAAAAAATAGTCTCATTACATAAAATGATGGAGTACTAACCATCGCTACAGTGGCAATAATATCACAATATAGGCATGTGTCAAGTAAACATGGTGTGCTTTAAATTTTACCATTATGTATCAAATATTCTTCAATAAAACCAAAGCCAACAAAACAAGGAAGATGAGACCAATAGTAGTCCTTGTCAGCAGCAAATTAAAGCTGTGTGCCAAATTCAGTCAACCACACTCACTTGTTTACACACTGTCTATGACTGCTTTCACACTGCAACATAGTTACCTGCCAACAAACACAAGGGCCACAAAGCCCAAAATATCTCCTATCTGGTCCTTTTCAGAAAAGCTTTTCCAACTTCTGGTCCTGGCTGAACAGCTACATTATAATATTATTTCTTGGGAGTAATAAAGGGCAATAGTAGAGGCCTCAGGGCAACTGTAATTACTGCCACCCAAGAAAAAGCGTAAGCTAGCAAAGCCCTGAGAGTAAAGCATACAAAGGGCCAACCCCATTTAACAAAACTCACTAATGTTTAACATGCTTTGATTTTGAAAATTCAAGTTAGTATCAGGGTAACAGGTAAAATTTAATTCTTACATTTCCATTTCTCTGAAAAACTATTAATACACTTGGATTTAATGGTAAAATTAATTTTTGCTATGTTTCAAAATATGCTCCAACTATTATATATAAGATTGAGGAAACAAGCTTAAATGACCATGAGGGATAGCTCACTTTAAACAGTTGGAACACCCGTGGCACTGTTAACTGCTTTCTGGGCAGCCTCTTTAGCTTGGTGGGCTTGCAGTACGGCTACAGCTTCATCAACCTAAAAAAGGAGAACAAATTGGCTCTGAAAAGGAGTAACTAGAAGAATCTTAACTTGACCGTATACAAATGTCATCAAAGGTAAAGTGTGAAGAACTCATAATTCCAAAAAAAAATACCAACTATTATCCATATCTTTTTGAGTTCCATTCCACCACTATTCCAGAATTATGAACTCTCTTGTACTTCTTACTCTCACCAAAAACCCTCCAAAATTGAAAAATATTAGCAAATATCACTATCTTTTTCCAACAAAGCAGCAGCAGTTAGGCGAGCATGGACACTAGAGTTAAACTGACTGATGTGAGACCCCGCTCGGCACTTCCTAGTTTTGTGAGCACTGGGGAATTACTTAACCTTTCCATTTCAGCACAGGCTATTGTCCGCACTCACAATGACTACTTGAAGAACTCTTAGAACAGTGCATGGTTTGTAGAATGATCTGCTTCATGTACTCACAACTGTGAACTACTTATGCCCACCCTGTATATAGCACTTTAAAATGTTCTATGAAATTAAATTCCCACAAAAAGTCCTAAAGTATCTGTAGAATAAATTGTTAGATATATGACAAATTTAAATTACTTTAGAACGAAGAGATTCTGGAGACTCAAGCATATGAAGAAGTTCTGAATTATCGATCTCCAGCAGCATGCCAGTGATTTTACCAGCAAGAGTAGGGTGCATGGCTTGAATGAGAGGAAACAGCCGTTCACCTAGGGACAAAAACATTTCAAAAACTTCCATTGAAAAAATCCTAAAAGCACCTACCATATTAAAAACTGGGAATTAAGAACCTTTTGTATATAGCAAATAAATAGGCATAATCTATATTGCCATATTAAATTGTTAAATCTATGCTCAGGCAAAGTCAAACAAAGTTTGTCCCTCATTTGGTTCAAATTCCCTCTTCCAACAATGTGGCGGGAATGCATGGCAAGTAGGGGTGTAATGCCCTATTACCCGATCCATCAAAAGCAACATTTGATAACTCTCTGGGCTTTAAATTATTTAGGCAGACAAACTGTGCCATCATAATAATTCATGCCAATTCAGATATATCTAGCTGTATTATTAGGTGCAGAAGAGGTTTTTGTGTCTATTTCCTAGTCTCTGACTAGGTAAGACAAAGGTACTTACCCAACATTTGCTTTTGCTCTTGAGGAGGGGCAGATGCCAACATGGAAGCAGTCAAAGGCTCCTGACCTTGTACATGAACAGCAGGCTAGATATAAAATAGGAAAATTCCTAAGTTTAAAGTACAGAAGTGATGGCAAGTATAAGTGAGTTACCATTAGAAAATCAGCGAAGAGTTGGACTGCAATCTGAACAGAAGCTGAGTAAACCAGAAACACACTTATTTGTTCAAGTGTTAGGACTACATGGGATATTTCACTTATTTTTTTAACCTGGAGTATTCTGTGGAACCAGATTTCTGTTATAGGTAATGACAGTCTTGGTCCAGAGTTTAAAAAAAAAAAAAAAAAAAAAAAAAAAGCTACCTTTCATAAACTTGATTTTACACTTTCTTCCTTACAGCCATGCCAAACGAAACTTAAGTCACCCAATTAAATTAATAAAATGCAGCCGAAGCCGGTTTGGCTCAGTGGTAGAGCGTCGGTCTGCGGACTGAAAGGTCCCGGGTTCGATTCCGGTCAAGGGCATGTACATTGGTTGCGGGCATATCCCCAGTAGGGGGTGTGCAAGAGGCAGCTGGTCGATGTTTCTCTCTCATCGACGTTTCTAACTCTCTATCTCTCTCTCTTCCTCTCTGTAAAAAATCAATAAAATATATTAAAAAAATAAATAAATAAATTAATAAAATGCAAAACGTTTGTCTAATTCCTATAGCACATGCAGTTGACATTTTTGCATACTATCAATTAATGGGACAATTAACAAGATATTCTAGACAGCCTAAGTTCTCCTATATCATGCAGTTGTCTTCAATTTCTGATTGCAACTTATGAAGAAATCCTAAGTCCATACCTGCTGCATGGTGACTTGTGGCTGTGCATTAAGATGTTGTTGAGGATTGCGAACTCCTGCAGCGTACTTGTACTGTGGAACGGTGCGGACAGCAGGAGTAGCTGCAGCAGCAGCCGCTGCGGGACGAGGACCCATTGTCTGTGTTGACGTGTTAGCTAAAAATAAAAACATACATTTTGTACATTTACCTTGCTACTTCAAACTGTAAACCAATTTTTACAGTCAGGGTGGGTTAAGACTCACCAACACGCTGTGTGGACATGACTCGTGGAACCTGTGAAGAAGCTGGTCTCATAGTACTAAATGGTGGTCTGGGAGCAGCTGGGCGGATAGCACCGGGCATATTTTGGAATGCTGCGTTTAAAGATATGAACACACATTAACTTGGCAAAACTCACTGAAAGTGTTCATGCTGCCTTTTTAGAGCTAAGACTTGAACAAAAGGCTAAAAATAAATACCATTTTTTAGTCTCACACCTGCAATTTCCCCAGACTTCTCATAGCATCAGTAAATAAACATTCATTCATACAATACTTATTAATATCTAACATCATACACAAACCTCTTTCCAAGTGCTCCTACAATACAGCACTATTCTACAGACAGGATAATGGCCAGGACCTGATCCTCATGTAAGTAACAAAATCTTTAAAACCACTGCCCATCCAAATATGAAATTAAGAATTAGATCCTGCCCTAGCCAGTATGGCTCAGCTGGCTGAGCATTGTTGGTGCACTGAATGGTCACTAGTTTGACTTCTGGTCAGGGAACATACCCAGGTTACAGGGTCGATCCCTGGTTGGAGTGTGTGGAAGGCAACTGATCAATGTTTCTCTCTCTCTCTCCCTTCCTCTCTCTCTTAAAAAAAAAAAAAAAATCAATAGACATTAAAATACGTTCAAAAAGAATAAAGAGTTGGATCCATTCCTAAACTTATAAAGGGAAAAATCAAACCAGCACAGAGCAGTGAAGCATTTTACAGTTTTTTAAAAGAACGAACAAATAGGAGCAAAAAGGGGACATACGTAATACTTTCAACAATAGACTTAAAATAATCCTACAGTAAAAGCCCAGGGACCAAAAAACCTTAGAAGGAACCAACCCCAGTGGGGCGAGGCTGGCTGGACCCCACCAGTGCACGATTTATACCCCAGGCCTCTCTAGTAAAAAGCAAAATAAACTCAACAAGCATGACCCAGGGTGGGGGGGGAAAATGCTGGAATCCCCAAATTAACACTGATAACCATAAATTATGAAAAGCAAGATAATACATCACTGAAATGTAACAGCTAATTGGCCCAGATATATTTTTATTCCAAATAATCCATCGCCTTAAAGAGAAAAAAGGAAAAGCTTACGATGAGGTCTGGCACCCTGAGCAGTCCAGCGAGGACTTGGTCTTAGTTGAGCAATTTGGCTAGGAGGATAGTATGCAGCACGGTTTTGAGTCTGTAGAAAGCAAGCAAATACATCAGCGAAAGGAAAAAAGCAAATAATGCAACTAACTATATACTCTCTTTATTTACCTGCAATAACCAAATGCAGGTTCTCAAACAGAAAAACGTACCTGCGGGATAGCTGCCATGAAGTAACCTGAAGGAGGTGCTGGCTGGTAGGGGTTGATTACGGGGTTGGGCACAGCTCTCACACTTGCCATTCTCTGCATGTACTGGTTCGTGAGGTGAGCCTGGCGCTCCTCTTTGCGCTGAGCTAATGCCACGTACAGTGGTTTGGTAGCCACAATTCTACCATTCATCTCTGTAACTGCTTTAGTGGCTTCTTCTGGGGAGGAGAAGCATACAAAACCAAACCCTTTGCTGCGACCACCCTCCATCATAACCTATTGAAAGAAGAAAAACATTAAACAAGGTTAATGCAGTGGTAGAATGAGGCATAAATGGAGAGCATTATTCAATGATAGCTACTGACTCAACTAAACCCTGTTAACAATGAAATAATTTCCCCCCCAATTTTCCCTTAGTACCTGAATATTAAGGGCAAGCTACACACATGCGTTATCCTAGCCAAGCAAAGGAGGAAGGGGCAAAGGTACAACAGCAACTTTTTAAAGATATTCAGTTAGATATTAAGATTTTCAATATTAAGGTTTAAATAGCTAAATAAATTCAAGGCTTACTAAATTTAAAACTCAGCATCAGTGGAAATACCCAATTAAAACCACTCTTCAAGACATTGAAGTGGGCCAAATGCTTTACTACTCTTTAAAGAGGAAAGAGGAGAAGGGAAAGCAGATGAATTTTATAGCACAAATATTTTAAAATAAAAACTTCACACTTAAGACCAGAAGTGCCGTGAATATTGGGGTATAAACAATATTCAGGAAACTTTCACTGACTGCAAAGATCTTTGCAGCATGCAATGAGGAAATGCAAAGAACTAGCCGAGAAATATACATAACCATGCTATCCAGCTACATTAAACAGGAATAAACAAAATTGCAATAAAACAGATGCCAATTTTACTTATATGTGGAATCAAACCCAAAAACAAATTAAAAAAAAAAATTAAAAGAAACTCCTGAGTTCCTGGATATAGAAAATAGACGAATGGAAAAAAAAAGAAAAGAAAAAGAAAGTAGACTAGTGGGTACCAAAGGGGTAAAGGGGGGTTAAACAGTATAAACTCCCAGCTACAAAATAAATCATGGAAGTGGAATGTGCAGCATCTAATAAAAGCATAATATGCTGATTAGACTGGATGACCTGCCAGGGCTGCAAGGGAAGCCGGGTCCCGGGTGCCAGAGGGGAAGGAAGGCCTGCTCTTGCACAAATTTCGTGTATCAGGCCTCTAGTACCGGTAGTTATTAATACTGTACTGTATATCGGGTCTAGTAATAATTAATGTCGTTTTTCAACATTCGTTTAAAATCTTGCTTGGCGTTGACTTGTATTGACATAACCTTCAAAAACGTGGTATCTACAGAACGTGTGAAGTGCAATTAACAAGTTTCGCTTGAAAAAGTTTGTGTTTGGTTTGGTTTTTGTTGCAAAACTAGGGCTAAGAAGATGGCGGATGAAGAGCATATTCGGCACTGCATGCTTTACGAGTTCCAATTAGGAAGAAAAGCAAGTGAGGCTGCAAAAAACATCTGTAGTGCTCTTGGTCAAGATGCAGTTAGCGCCAGAAAATGCCAGCGTTGGTTTGAGAAATTTCGCGAGGGAAATTTTTCGTTAGATGACAAGAGTGGTCGAGGCCATGTGTCCAATTTTGATCAAGAAGCTCTTCAAGCTCTTTTGGTGCAAAATCCTCAAATTACCCAACAAGAGCTTGCGACAACTTTAAATTGTTCACAAAAAACAATTTCCAATCAATTGCGTGCACTTGGCAAAGTCCAAAAGTTTGGAAAATGGGTTCCTCATGAGTTGACCGACAACAACCGTAATCAAAGAGTCACAATTTGCAGTTCTCTCCTCTCTCGTCAAAACCGTTTGCCGTTTTTAGAGCAAATTGTTACCGGAGATGAAGAATGGGTGCTGTATGTTAATTTGAAAAGGCAGCCTCAATGGTTGGACAAAAATGAGGCTCCGCAGCCCACGCCAAAACCTGACTTGCATGCGAAAAAAGTGATGTTGTGTGTTTGGTGGAATTTTAAAGGAATTCTTCATTATGAACTTTTACCATCTACCCAAACCATTACAAGTGCAGTGTATAGTGCCCAATTGGAAAGGTTAGCCCAAGCTTTAAGAGAAAAAGAACCTGCGCTGATTAATCGGAAGGGTGTAATTCTTCACCACAATAACGCACGACTGCATACCGTAAGAATCACTGCTCAAAAACTGCGCCAGTTGGAATGGGAAGTTCTCCCTCAACCTGCATATTCTCCTGATATTGCCCCTTCCGATTACCATTTGTTTCGTTCTTTGCAAAACTTTCTTCTTGGAAAAAAATTTAATAATGAAGAATTCCTCAAAAATGCATTGACCGAATTTTTTGCATCAAAATCACAAGAATTTTACAACAGAGGGATTAAAATGCTTTCTGAGCGTTGGGCACAAGTAGTAGAAAACAACGGCAACTATATTGTTGATTAAATTTTGTTGTATTGTTTAAATAAATTCGATTTAAAAAAGTATTAGGAAACGACATTAATTATTACTAGACCTAATACACTGAGTGGCCAGATTATGATGATCTCTGAACACATAATAATCTGGCCACTCAGTGTATATATCCTATATAATAAAAGGCTAATATGCAAATTGTCTCCTTAATTAGGAGTTCGACCAGCAGGCAGGCAGGCCAACCGCCTATGTCCCCCATGCACGATTTCTTGCACCAGGCTTCTAACACACACACACACACACACACACACACACACACACACACGCACGATTATTATGCATTCAGAGATTATAATCTGGGCACTCAGTGTAAAAGTATGCAAAGAAAGACAAAAATAGTAAACACATGAAAAATATGTCACCATTTGAAAAGATATATGTATATACTGCTTTCTAGTAACGGATAAATTTGTTCAGCCCTTTTGGACAATTTTGTTGTATCAATTTTAAATATACACCCACAAACCAGCAATATCAATTCTAGAAATACTGGCATGTATACAAATATAGATGAATAAAATAGTTTTTAGAAAGGTGGATTTAACTTTGGAAACAGGCAAAGCAACTGAAATGCTTATCAATACAAGTACAATAATTTATGATATATCCATACCATGAATATTTAGCTCTTGGGAAAAAAAAAATGCCCAAAATAAGTATGTATTTAGATATATTGTTAAATAAAATAGCAAACTGCAGAATATGCAGGGCATTATCCTGTTTTCTAAAAACTATACATATAGACTGGACAAGCATGAAAAATTCTCAACACCACTCCATCTTTCTGGAGACTAAAAATGGGGGTGCAGGAGTTGCCTTTCACTTTTGTCTTTCTCCTTGACATGTTTTTTTCCGGTAGCATTATTAAATTAACATACTGCCCTCCTCCCTCCAAAATAAATTCTTGCCAAACTTTTCACCTCCTTACAAATAGTGATATTATAATCCACAAAGGGCTTGAAGAACTCTTTGTAAAACATGCATGTGAAATACATTTAAAATAAATGGATGTATATTCATCCAGTTTAAACAGCTTCCAAGGAATACAGAGGTTAAAGACACGCAGGAATAAATTCCACCACACCCCAGGTACTCTTACAAAAGCACAGGCTGTAACGCAAGACAACCACATTCCCTGCTTCCTTATTTGTATTCATCTACTGTGCTCCTAACATTTCCTCTTTCACAGAAGTTTCCTCGATCAATGGGTTTGCCAGGAAAAGCTGAGAAAGATGAGCCACAGATCATTCCAGAGCACTGAGCTTTAATTTTTCCTACACTCCAAAATTCCAGGATTTAGTACAGAATCCTGTTTTCAGAGTTTGACTCCTCAGAAAGACTAAGTGAATACAGAATAGCCCAATTGTTAACAGGTACAGTCCCCTAATAAACTGACTGACACTTAACCAGTAAAAAGCACTAGTTTAACAAAGTGTAGAATAGTGCACATCACTGAGGATCAATCAATGTAACTGGTCTGTCATAAACTGTAGCCTTCCTCAGGTAAGAATTCAGATCTGGGCTACAACACCCACATCAAATTTGAATCTTTTGTTGTTTTTTTAAAGTAATGAAGCAAAAATTTGATTTCTAGGAAAAGAAAAATAAAATTGGGAAAGGGGTGGGGGAGGGAACCTTATTTGGTTACATTCGTTTGCAAGGTGGGGGGAAAAAACTTGAAGTAAATTGATGTGACATTTAATACACATAAAGATGAAATTTTCCAAAATCTTAAAAAAAAAAAATCGTTTGCTTACCTTTGCGCTAGTGATTGTACCAAATGGAGAGAACTCTTTCCGGAGACGTTCATCATCAATACCATCATCAAGGTTCTTCACATAAAGGTTAACACCCTAAAAAAGAAAAAGAAAGAAAACTATGGTGGCACTTAAGCACACTTCCTACTGTTTTATCCCATGTTTCTTTCCCCCCTCTCAAATTCCCCGATTACCTGTCTGTAAATAAAATGAACATAAAATAGGTTTCCTCATCCCTGTCTTATTCAGCTTGTTTAATTAAAAATGAACCGGGCAGCCCAGCCGGTGTGGCCCAGTGGTTGAGCATAGACCTATGAAACCAGGAGGTCACGGTTCGATTCCTGGTCAGGGCACATGCCTGGACTGCAGGTTTGAACCCCAGTAGGGGCTGCCCATCAATGGTTCTCTCTCATCATGATGTTTCTCTTTCTCTCACCCTTCCTCTCTGAAATCAATAAAAATTTATTAAAACACAAAAACGAACCTGGTATCTGGTGATCCTATCTTGCTTCATCTGTTCAAATTTGCGCTTAAGTTCCGTCTGCCGTTCCACTTTTTTCTGAGCTCGGCCAACGTAAATTTGTTTTCCATTGAGCTCCTTTCCATTCATCTCATCCACAGCCTTACAGAAATAATGAAAACTTTAATTACTAATTTGAAATATAGAAATTCATTCCTTTAAAAACAAAGTTTGTTACATTGTGAATGATCTAGACAGACCCATAACAAAAACTAAATTTTGCGGTTTGGGGAAAATGTAGGTTCCCAATTTGTAGTATCAAAATATCGATATATAAAATAAAATAGAAACAAAACAAAACAAAAAAAACATGTAAAGAGCGAAAACTGGTTTGGCTCAATGGATAGAGCGGTCAGTCTACGGACTGAAGGATCCCGGGTTTGATTCCAGTCAAGGGCATGTACGTTGGTTGCGGGCACATCCCCAGTGGGAGTGTGCAGGAGACAGCTGGTCAATGTATCTCTCTCATTGATGTTTCTAGCTCTCTCCCTCTCCCTTCCTCTCTGTGAAAAATCAATAAAATATATATTTTTTTAAAAACATGTAAAGATGAACATGCAATAGCCATTGGTATGCATGTAAATTTCAACATAAGAGCAACACTAGGTGTTCTGTGTTTTATTGCAAAAAACACAGAACACCCAGAGCCTTTACTTAATACATTTAAGTCTTACTTTCTGTGCATCTTCATGCCTCTCAAAGCTTACAAATCCAAAACCTTTGGATTTTCCACTCTCATCTGTCATTACTTTCACACTTAAGGCAGGTCCTAAAAAAAGAAAAAATTAATGACTCAGATATCCATACAATATTTAGTTTATACATCTTAAATTTCAACACACAAAAACAAAGCCATGCATGCGCACTAGTCTCTTCAAAGACCCTTTATTTCTACTAAGAAGTAAACTGAAAACACTCCTACTTCCTTTTTGGGGGTGTTAGACAACTGTAAAAAAAGAAGTTTTATTCTTAGCAATAGTACAGAACAGACTTGCTTTTTTTTTAACCCAACAATTTGGTTTTCTTGACATCAGAATTAATAAGAATTTCTTAAGCCCTGGCCCACTTGATTTCAACAGTCAGTGAAGGGAATACAGCGCCTGACATTTGGGAAGACAAAAGAATCACCTGGAGGTGGCATGTTTCTGAATTCAATGCCCAATCCCACCCACGCAAGTAAAAATGACACTTAACTGAGGCGGGTATTATCTCAGGTAGACGGGACAAAAAGGCTAAAAATCACATTTAATTAGAGAATTTGCAAGATGTATGAGCATAGATTATTACTTTTGAATGTACTTTAGTCCTAAGGTTATACTTTAAATCCCTGCTATGCAAAGCTATCCAGAATAAAACTGGCAAATTTACAAATTGGTCAACTGACAGCATCATTCATTTGAAATAAGTGGTTAACAATATCTAATCAAACGTTAGAAATAGCTTCTAATCTCAAAAGGACAGATGAAATATACAACTCTGGCAGGGACAATTTGCATATTAGGCGCATATATATAACTTTGCAGTACAATAGATGATCAGTAGCTTTATCCAAAAAACTACAAATTATTTTAAGTATCATGTGAGTCTCATTTATTTTGGTAAAATTAGCCAAAACTAATTAGAGGCAATTAGAGGCCTGGTGCATCAAATTCGTGGTGGTGGTGGTGGTGGGGGGGCCCTTGGTATACATTCCTCAGCCCTCTCTGCTCCTTAGCAATGCTGCAGAGATGGGAGAGGCTCCCACCACTGCACTCACCAGCTGTGAGCCTGGCTTCTGGCTGAGCAGTGCTGCCCCTGTGGGAGCACACTGACCATCTGGGGCAGCTCCTGCATTGAGCGTGTGCCCTCTGGTGGTCAGTGTGCATCATAGCGACCTGTTCTGGTCATTGGCTGTTAAGGGTCATGTAGGCTTTTAATACAAAGATTACTCAGAACATTGTAAAAATTTAATTCAGACACATTACCAAACTTGCCAAAGAGATCCTTAAGGCGCTCATCATCCATGTCTTCTCCAAAATTCTTGATGTAAACATTGGTGAACTCTTTTGCCCTAGCTCCAAGTTCTGCTTCTCGTTCTTTGCGAGACTTAAATCGTCCAACAAATCTAAAAGAAAAAAATACATAGACTATAAAACAGAAATAGAGCCTCAATGAAAAAAATGGAAGTTTAAAATATAAACTTCATAATTACAATCTCACACACACACACCAAAAAAAACAGAACAAAAACAAAACAAACACTATTTTTTCTCCTACAAACACAAAACATTTTTCTTAATACACACTTCTCTCCCTTCTGTCGAGCCAGGGTTAAAGAGATCACACCTACAAATGAATGGGATGCCAATGAAAAGACTTAAAAACCCTGGTTAGGTGGCTCAATTGGTTGGAGCGTTGTCCTGTACACCAAACAGGTTGAAGGTTCAATTCCAACTCAGAGCACGTAACTAGGTAGCAGGTTAGATCCCAGGTTAAGGCACATACAGGAAGTTACCAACCCTTGTTTTGATGTTTCTCTCTCCCTCTCCCTAAAACATACACTCCAGTGAGGATTTAGAAAAAAAGACAAAAGCTTTCACAGCAGCTTTTCAAAGTGGCTCTTACACTTTTTAACTTAAAATGTAACTTAATTCTATATTCTTAACACATAATAGCCCTGCATAATTTTTTATATTACCAACAAAATGTTTTTAAATTTAGTTTTCCCCTAATATAATAGTATATGGGCCATTGAAAAATATAGAGCAAACATTTCCTGCCCTAACCGGTTTGGCTCAGTTTATAGAGCATCGGCCTGCGAGGTGAAGGGTCCCAAGTTCGATTCTGGCCAAGGGCATGTACCTTGGTTGCGGGCACATCCCCAGTAGGTGTGCAGGAGGCAGCTGATCAGTAATTCTCTCTCATCAATGTTTCTAACTCTTTGTCCCTCTCCTTTCCTCTATAAAAAAAAAAATATCAATATATATAAAAAACACACACACACATTTCCCATAATCCTCCTCAAAAATCAACCTACCAGTGATGAGTGAGCACTTTGTCACCGTTGACACTGCTGACTGGCAAAACTATGTTTCCATCTGAGAATACTAATAATGCTGAATATTTCTCATTTAAATGTACTCAAAATTCCAACAGGTAATACCATTTACATAACTTCATGCACAGACTGATCACACCACTTGATGCACTGGTTTATGAGCACCACACCTTAAGAATGATGCAGTTGACTTATAACCAAACCCAATTTGTATGCCATCATTAACTACACAACAACATAAACTAACAGGTCATTTACAATATGACCTCATAGCTGAATTTACCCAGATCCACCGACTGAGGAGAAATAAGATTTGTCCTATTTTGGGGCTCATAAAATCTTGTTTTATTAAAACCAATAACAGAAATAGTCTTACACAGGTTTTATCAGTGTTATTATTTTTAAAAATGTTTTTATTTTACAAAGAAGGGAAAGCATTGATGTGGGAAACATCAATTGGCTGCCTCCTGATATCTCACTCATCCTGGGATCCAGTCCAAACCCCAGGCCTATGTCCTGACCAGGAATCCAACCACTGACCTTTGTTGCAGAGGAAGATGCACAACCAACCAAGCCACACGCTCAGGCCATCAGTGTCATTATTTAATTTTCAGGAACAAGTTTATTTCAGAAAGATTAATCATAAAGACTTCTGGTTTAATTCAGCTTTTTCTTTAAAGAGGTAGATGGGTTCAAAAAGTTGGGGGGAAACTTTATAATCCATCAATAAATTGCAGCAGTATAACCAAGTAAAGAGTCACCCTGGGCTCAGAACTTAGACCACTGGGCTTGTATTCTAACCCATCTGTTATGCCAGCACTTAATTACAGGCAAATTATTTTAGCCTCAGTTTCCTCAAATAGAAAATGGGCTAATTACTACCTCAGAAATTACAATTAAGCTTCTGTCTGGCTTCTAGTTGTTCAACTATGCACTTACTTTGAAAAAGCTTTATATACCAGTATACCCATTTTTTTCTTTTTAGTTTGAAGGCTGACCATTTTATTGGTTCACTGTTATTTTAACGTTACATTGAGTGTGGAGAAAGACAATTATAAAAATCAACCCCAAGATGTACGTTTGTTACTTTTCATTCAAATTTCTCTTTATTAAGAGCACAAATACATTACTTTATAAAATTAATGCATTGATTGAAACTACTAAAGAGATGTGAAGTCTAACTAAATTTTTATACTTACACTTTACGATCGTTTAGAAGCATCCCGTTCATTTTTTCAATAGCTCTTTCAGCGGCTTCCTGTGTCTCAAAATGTACAAACCCATAACCCTTGGAACCATTTTCATCACAAACCACCTAGGGGAAAATGTGTAACAGTTTTTCATTACATAGTATTAATTCAACATTTCCCCAATGTTCAAAGTACCATACTGCTGACCAATGCTGAGAGGGTAGAGGGAGGCTTAGGGGAGCTGACACCCAGCAGTCAAAATCTACATATAGCTTTTGACTCCCCAAATAAGAATGTATCCCTCAGTATCCCCAGATACTAAAATCTGTGGCTACACAGAACAGTGTAGAACAAAGCATAGTTGGCCCTCTGCATACATGGATTCCCAAACAGAAAACACATATTTACTTTAAAAACTTGCATTTAAGTGGGCACTGTTTCAAATGTCAACTGAAACTTGTCAGTCACATTGCCTGGGTATTTGGGAAATAAAGATACCCATTATTAATAGACAGTATGGTTGCTATATTTAGGAAAAAGTATGATAAATATGTTTATCTGTCACGCTGTTGCTTACCTTACATGAAAGGATGTTACCAAAAGCAGAAAATGTATCATACAGTGCTTTATTATCAATGGATTTGTCCAAATTTTTAATGAATATGTTGCCCACTCCACTTTTGCGAAGTGATGGATCACGCTGAGACCACATGATGCGAACTGGCTTGCCCTTTATAACATCAAAATTCATGGTGTCCAAAGCACGCTCCGCTGTAGGAAAGATATTTTCATAGTGAATTATTACTTCAAAACTTTTACAGGCCACTTAAAATTTTATGAACTGTGTGGAAGGAGTGATTGGGCCCACAATCTCTCTATTTCTTCAAACTTCACAGGATGGCTGGACCTTACCTCAACCGAGTTGAGATTTAAGTTATGTAACACATGAAGTGGCTATCAGAAGCCCCAAATTTCCTACCTGTTAGATAATGAAATATCACTGATAATGTATTTCTAAAACAATCTTTCCCTTTAATTGCCATTATATATAAAAGCACCTTTTCGTTCCTGGTCAACATAAAATCAAGATCTCTTTTAACATAAAATCTGCTTAATGAGCAATATAAGACATTAAGCAATTAAATATTATCCACAGGCTAAACATAGTTTATGAATTTTTAAGCATTTCTTCTTCTTCCCTATTGCTTGCCAAAATTGGTCCTTTCATTGCAGCTTATCAGTACCAACATGAAGCAAAAACCAGTCCATTTTCTTAAAAAATAAAAAATCCCTGAATTATTTTGGGGGATTTCACTGATTCATGGCACAACTTCATATTGCCATATAACAAAAAAGAAAAGGCTATTATCTATTCAGATCAAGATTCGAATCAGAAAAAAAAAAATTGAATCAGGCCTTCAAAAACTAATGTGAAGTTGGGCATAGCTGGAGAATACATAATTTGGTCTACAATACTCACAATTGATTATTAACCCTTTCTTGAGATATAAAACCAATTTTATCTTAGATCACTTTTGTACTTACTGACTGATAATTTAACCAATTATTTCTGGATAGTGTTAGAAAATTTCAAAATCTACACCGTGATTTCAGGACCTATGAAGAATTATGTACATTAAAGAAACACTTTAAATTAGAGAAGTTGAGACTAAATTAAAAAAAAAAAAATCCTTAAGTGAAAGACTAGTCCCTTAAGAGGAGAAAAACAGTCCACTTCAAATTCTACAAGTTTCACAAATTCCATGCCGACATAACTGTAGTTATTGAGAGGACCAATTTTCTAGCCACTTTTTTAAATGAAAGTTCCATTTTCTATAAGGTAGTGATGATAAGCTGTCAACTCCTTATCAATTGACCACACCTACTCAGCTCCCCTAGTTTTTTAGCTGACTTTGCTTAAGCTTCTTTTGAATGAGTCACCTCTTCCAGCTAAATTAGAAACTGGTCACTTTCAGAAATTATTCTATAAGTCCATAGCAATAAATAGGGGGGAAAAAAGAAAAAAAGAAAAAACTATTGGGGAGGACAGTAATTTGTACATGTAGAAAACAAGTAAATGGAAGATGGAAAAACGCTAATTTCTTTTTAGTCCTAGCACTGTTTTATTGATATACTGATAATACTTAGGGTATATTTTAACATGGTTAATTCAATTTTTTTTCAAATCCCAAGAACTTAAAAAAGTTGTTCCTTTGGATTTCAAATGGTTAAGCTTAGAAAAAACAAAAGCCACTTTTCAAGTCACCATTTTCTGGTCTCTAGAATTTGTTCAAGTTTTCTCTATCAATTCTTTAGATTGTGATTACCTGACCCAAACTTATGTTCCCTAGTATTCCTTTATCTTCTCAGTGACCAATCCTGCCGAGTTGGGAAGAACTGGTCTGAAGTGACATTTGGAGGTACTGCTTACAGAGCAAAGGGGCAGGAAACCTGCTGCAGTTTTACAACTTCTGGTTCAGTGTCACAATAGTCTGCTACCCAAAACCTCCATTATTAACTTCACCCAGTGAAAAGCTGACTAAGTGGATTTAATAAAGGTTTAAATTCTAGCCTTAAGGCCTTTTCTACAAAATTAAATTGACTGAAGCTGACTTGGAATTCAGTTGATCCAGATTTAGAAAAAAAAAAAAAAATCCTGGCCACATGCACCAGGCCACATATCCTACCTACCAAAAAAAATTTTTTTAAATGAACTTCAAAATAAAAACATAAGGTTAGAAATATACTTCCCCATAGTCTCAAGCTAATTAGAATCTGGTTATTCAAAACTCGGTCATTCTTCATGACTTATGGATACTGTAGGCTACTTTTTAAAAAAAGAAACTTGAACTACTCCAATGCCACATAAGTAATGATGATCCACACTGCGTTCACGAGTAACACTTTACAGCCCACATTTGCGAATACATTTTTTTTAAGTCAAGGCCCTCAAAATCATAGGAACTATTTTAGAAGAGAAAAACCAATATTCTTAACAAATTACCAGCATTATGAAACTTAACCTGATTATTAAAATCGAAATGGTCTAAATTCCTGAGAAACCGATACCCTCTCCATCCCCTCCCTCCTCCAACCAACACTGCGGGCTTCCAGTGAAAAGTGCCTGAACTTGGGGAAATCCCCGGTAATTTACATCTGCAGGGCCGTCAATGCCTGGCAGGTTATGAGGAATGACATCAGAAGCCTGGGGACCACCGCCAGGAGATGGGGGGCCGGTTACGGAGGCAGGCAGGCCTCTGGGCCTGTGTGTGTGGGGTGACGGGGGTTCAACACGTGCTATCTTCCCGGCACCGACCGGCACTTCCTCCCGGGGCCGAGGCGCCGGCAGAGACAGGGGGAGGCTGGGCGGCTGCAGCGCCGCTACCTGTTCCCGTCCAGGGGGGGCTGCGCCCGGCTCCCGGCATCCCGCGGCGGCGGGCGGAAGCGCCCGGAGAGCCCAGTCTCACCACCCCCGCCCCCCACCCCCGGCGGCGCGTCATCGCCCTAAAGTTTGAGCGGCTTTGAGGCCGAGAAAATGGTTGCAAAGGAGGAAGTGGCCGGGGCGTGAGAGTGGCGTGCGGCTGCCGGCGGCGGCGCGTGTTCCCGCCGGGGTGCGGAGCCGGGGTCCCGGCGCCCAGCCTCTCCGCGCCGACCCTCGGGGGGGAGATCGAGGGGGACAACGGGGGGTGTGACATGCCCAGCCGCCCCCTCCCCCTGGGACCGCCGGCCTAGCCCGCCCGCCGCCGCCGGAGCCTCATGGCCGCCCGCCCTCCCTCCCTCCCTCCCGCCGGGCCGCCCGGTGCTCACCGTCCGCCGGCTGCTGGAAGTTCACATACGCGTAGCCCAGGGAGCGGCGGGTGATCATGTCCCTGCAGACCCGGATGGAGAGGATGGGCCCGGCCGGGCTGAACTTCTCGTAGAGCATCGCCTCGGTCACGTCGGGGTGCAGGTCCCCGACGTAGAGCGAGGCCATCGGGTAGCTGGGGGCGCTGGGGTTCATCTCGGCACGGCTGCCCGCGGGGCCACAGGCCGCGACCTTTTTCCAGTCGAGAGGAAGAAGGGGAGCGAGTGCGGAGCCGGGGGAGGGGGAGCGGGGGCGAGCGCGGAGGGACAAAAATCAAGCGGAATCGAGAAAACTACTCAACAGCCGCCGGACGGGGTCGGTCCGCTGGCCGCTGGCTGCTGGCTGCCGGCTGGGAGCGAAGGTGCGGTGTCGGGTCCGGGGCAGCGAAGAAGGCCTCGGTCTCTGGGTTCCTTCTTGGAGCTGCTGCTGCTGCTGCTGCTGCTGCTTGCGGGGCCGCGGGCGGGTCGGTCTCGGCTGCTTCACCGGGTTATTTTTATAAAAAAAATGAAGAAAAAAAATAAAAGTCTCCGGCGGGGGGAGGGAGACGCGGACTTTTCTGTAAAATTTCTTTTTTTTGGGTTTTTTAAAGGTTTTTTAGATTTTTTTGGGTTTTTTTAATAATAAATGTGTGTTCCGAGCCCGGAGCACACACTCCGCACTCTCAGCACTAACCGCCGGGGAGAAGGGGAAGCACCGCCTCCTGCTCCCTCTACTTATACCGCACGCGGCCCTCGCCCCGCCTCGGCGCGTCTGACGCCAGGACCCGACGTGAGCGTCAGCGCCGCCGGAGGAGGAGGAGGAGGAAGAGGGCGAGAGGGCGGAGGGAAGAGAAAACCGGAGGCGGAAAGAGCCAGAGAGGAAGGGAGAGGCGGGTACGGGGGGCGGGGCTAGGGCGGCGGGGCGGGGGTTCTGCGCATGCGCGGCTGCCTGGGGGCGGGGCCCACGCTGAGTCGTCGGCGCGTGGGGCCGGGGAGGGCGGCTCGCGGCGGCTCCCGGAGGCGTCGGGTGGGACCGCCCCGCCTCGCCACGCTCCCCCGCCCCCCACCTCCACCCGGGAGAGGCGTTAACCCGTCACCGCCAGCCAAGGTGGGCGGTGCGCGAGGCTTCCGGGTTCCTCGGCGCTAACCACCCCCCCACGTGCACGGGTCGCCCCGGCCTCCTCCCGCCTCGGCCTGCCCGGTTTCGGCCGCCCCCGCCCCACCGTCCCCGAGGGACGCCGGGCACCAGGGAGGGGGCCCGGCGTGAACCCTTCCAGACCCAGTTTCCGAAAGGTGGCGTGAAAAAGGAGCCGGGGCTGGCTTCCCCCTTCTCCTACCCGGACCGCACTACCAATCCCAGCGGGCACCGCCGCCCCGCGCCTCGGCCGCAGGAGCGGTGCCTGCCGGGAGCTGGAGTCCCCAACGGCCGCGGCGCCCGCTGATTCTCTCCCCCCCCCCCCCCCCCCCCAACTGGCCGCGCGTCCGGGCGCCCCAACCGTCCGTCCGGGCGCTGGGCCCCCGGGGCCGCCCGTTCAGCGGAGGGGTGGGGGGAGGGGTCCTCGGGCTCCTTGGTCACCTTGGTTTCCGAGCCGTAGGCGCTCCGCAGTCTTCATTAGACTGGTCGTTGGTCAGTGGCTTTCATTGGGGAAAGCTGTTTTTGTTGTGTGCTTTTTTTTTGGGGGGGGGGGGTGGGGAGGATCTTTGTGCCCTTCCCTTGTTAAAGGATGGTGTCACTATGAACTTAAGATGCTCGATCGGAGTCATCATTATCGATTGGTGCTCTTTCTGCCAGAAATTTCCTTGGGGCAGAAGACAGGACTCGAGAGAAAAAATGTTCTCCTTAAAGTCTGAGTCCTATCACACTTTTCCGTGGCACCTCACCACCTGCAAATCTGTCAAATTTAGGAATAAGTCTAAAGCGCCGTAGTTCGTGCTTAGAACAATTCCGTGCATTCGTTACGGCCTTCAGTAGGAATGCTAAATGGAATGAGTTATTAGCCACGGAAAACGCCAGTTAATAGGAATGACTATCCACACACACACAGACACACTCCCACTTTAAACTACTAATGTATTTAATAGTTTTCCAAGGACTTGCATAAACATTCGACCATCTGTTCCCTACAGCAATCTTGTGTGGGACGTGGAGCAAGCAGTAATCATTTTATTTTACTGTTGAGGGAACGGCCTCAAATGATTTTGCCCAGCGCATTCTTCATTTCAGTAAACGTCAGTGCATGCCAAACGTATTGGCAGGTGTGCACCCGGGTGCCGCACTGACACTTAATTAAAATTTAAGCCAGCGGAGTCCCACGTAAGTGCTCTTTCACCCCTATCTTGGTAGGAAGAAAGATGGTATTTCTGAAAAACATGTTGCTTCATGTTGCTTTATTGGGCAAAAGAGCAAAAAACTTAGCTCTGTGCCTCAAGAAGACACATCTCTTCCTAAATGGTAAATCACACTCGATCTATTAGAACTCTGATTAAAATGGATCCATCGATATATAGAGTGCCTATCAAGGGGAGAGTACTATCTTCGTTAAGTAAGGATGGCAGACAAAAACAAATTCCTGTCCTCAGAGGGTTATGATGAGTTCCTCTGGTAGTCATAGATACAGGCGTTGCATTCAGTACAGTAAACATTCAGTCCCAGCATTTTATCTATGACAGTTTTCTATTAGATTCTAAATTTGTTTTCTTTAAAAAGAGGATGAAAGTTCCATTATTATACTTCAAAAGAAAACATGAATTTATTTTAGTATTTCAATGAAATCACTGGACAGAGACAATATATAAAATTAAAAAGGGATTTAAAAAAAGAGTTGTACTCAATAAAGCAGTGAAATAAATTAGTAAATTACTAATTTATAACAATAAATTAGTAATTTACTAATAACTTGTAAATTAAACTATACTAAGTATAAACTACCCAAACCATGCATAATTACCAGGATTATCTATCCAGGGGATTTTACATATACACTGAGTGGCCAGATTATTATGATCTCTGAACGCATAATAATCTGGCCACTCTGTGTGTGTGTGTGTATGTGTATTAGAGGCCTGGTGTATGAATTCGTACATAGGTGGGGTCCGGCCAGCCTGGCTAAGGGAAGGGGACACGGGTGGTTGGCTGGCCTGCCTGCTAGTCGAACTCCTGGTCGAGGGGACAATTTGCATATTAGCCTTTTATTATATAAGTGGCCAGGTTATTATATGTTCAGAGATTGTAATCTGGCCACTCAGTATACTTCTGGTAGAGGAAGATGAGGGTACAGTTTCTGGTGCACTTCACTAAAACATGATTGTAAATACCAAAGTTGAGAAGGAAAAAAAAAGGTCTGCTTGGAGTCTAGAAAATGTTGTCAAGAGAACAAGAGTTTGGCCAGCACTATCTAGAGTGGGTTTGAGCACTCCCGTCACTAGAAATGGTTTCACTAGAGCTTACATTAAATGACTCAAAAGACTTCTCTTTGTTACAAATCCATTTTGAACCAGCAACTTCCCAATTAATAAGTCCAATTAATTAGCTGAGCTTCCAGGGCACCTTGACACAGGAATTGGAAGCCCTGGATGGTAGAAGTATTCTAGTTGCTGGAAAGTTCTGCCAGTTCTTTGTAGATTAGTAAATACTTTGAGAAGGAAAGTGGTCATTAGGATTCCTAGGCAGCTGTCGTTGTCATTGGCATGTGGGGCATGTCCTTGTCATATCTGAGGGAGGTACAGTTGAGTAGGCACAGGGAAGACTAGAAGCAAAGCCCGCCCCTGAGCAGAGGGAGCTAGTTGACTCAGGAGAGGAAGTCAGAGCTCATCTCAGGAGGAAAAGGGAGTAGGATCTGAAACGAACCAAGAACCTGTTCCATTGGTCCATGAAACAAGTCACCTCTTTGTCGTTATCTCCACCGAGATCATTTCTCTCAGGAGCCTTTCTGATTAAAAAAACAAAACAAAACAAAACAAAAAACCCAAACTCTCCCTTAATCACATAGTCTCTGATTTACTCTCTTTTTCAAAGCCAAACTTTTTCCACTTCTTATCTCCCCTTAATTCCTCAACCCCTCTATCATACAGTTTCTCCCACCTCCACTCAGACTGCCCTCTCATCAGTCGACAATATTTCCTCTTCTGTTTGACAAACCGAATGCACTTTCTTCTGGTTAATTTTGCGTGACATCTGTAGAATCTGACCCTGTTTTCCTCTCTGTTTTGTTTAATACTCTCTCTTGGCTTCCGGATCACAAGCCTTCTGGCTCTGCCCAGCTTTCAGCCTATTCCCAGCCTTCTTGTCACCCTCCCTGGCCACTCCATTGGGCTTTCCCCTGACCACCCTTCTGCCTTACATTTAGCAAATGGTCTTAAAATAGTCTGCTTGTCAAATAACTTGTAAGCTCTAAAATAGAGCCAGTGTTCTCTCTATCTGTATTTCTACTGCCGATCATAAAGCCTGGCACACTGGAGGCATTTTTTTTGGTTTGTTTGTTCTTTAACTGGAGGGAGAAGGCCAGTCAGGCTTATGTATTGACCACACAAAGACGGGGCTTAATCGGAGATCTCAGCCTGAAGTTCACCTGGGCACCTAGAGCCATGTTCAAGTCCAAGCTGCCTGGCAGCCTGCTGCCCTACTGCTAAACCCCACAGGCTACTGGAGGGAGTATTTCCTAACATACTGGCTGGGCACTCATTTTCAGTGATGTGCTTGGAGGGAGGAGACTTCTAGTCCCCAGAGTCGGGCAAGGAGGGACAGACCAGGGCTGCTGGATAAAAGGAGTTTCTGAACCTCCAAAGCTGAGGACACCATGCAGTGGTGAAACCATTAACGTTCTGTCAGCCTTCAAGGGCTATCAGACAGCCTCCCTCTTTGACCTTAGCAGTATGATAGCTTCTGATAGAGGTAGTTAAGATTACAAATAAAAGTCAGAAGAGGTAATATTTGTCTATTCCATTTGACTTTTTGATTCACTATTCTCCTTTTTCTCTTTTCAGTCTTAAAAAATGTGCTGTCTGTGTTTATCTGGTTTGCCTATGTACATCTAATTTTAGATCACAAAACTGTAGGACAGAATTTTATATATATATACCAAGCGAACTGAACACTGGAACAACCAGAACAACCCGTCACTGTGATGTGCACTGCAGCCCAGATCAAACCTCCCCGACCCGGATTGGGGGCGGGGCCTCTCCCCCAGCTGGCCCCGCCCCTTGTTGCCACTTCCTGTTGCTCTCCCCTTCCTCCCCCCCTGCCTACCCAGATCCGGGGCAGTGCCAGCCAGCCAACCTCGGATGGGCCCCAATCAAGGCAGACCAGCCAGACCCCACCCATGCATGAATTCGTGCACTGGGCCTCTAGTGTCTTTATATGTGCAGCATCTCACTCTAGGTGCCTAAGAATGTTTAATGACATCAACACCATTCAATTAACTTGTTTTAGCCAATAAAAGGTAAAATTCTCTAGAGAACTTGTTTGCTTGAACTTCACTAGAGATTTATAAATAATTTTCAGGCTATATTCAGAATATATCCAGACTATAGTGTTTCATTTACTATATCACAAAGTTGACTGGGCTTATGAGCTCTTAGGTATTATTGAGATATTTGAGATGAATAGTAAGAGAATATAGCATCCCCTCCCAACTGAAGGGGTATACTTTCCAGAGATCTCTATAATGATAAAATAGTACATGAAGTACAGTCTAATGGGGTGACAGGCATGATAACCAACAAT